TGAGCAAAATTGAATTGTTTTTAAATGCTTATTCTTTTATTATTTTTATTGAAAGTTTTTGAGCTATTTTTGCAGCTTAGAAAAACAGAGCACATGGACAGCAGCTGCTCACAGCTTACCAAATTAATTGAAGGCTAATGCGCTTCAGACTCATCGTAATAGCTTACCCAAGCCTCAGTTTTATTAATCCAACAACAAAAATAACTACAACATCTTGGTGTGGCTGAGCACGAGGTGGACATTCAGCTGCCTGGTTGCAGTTGCCGATAATAGCCATTGCTAAAATTGTTATAAGATGCTGCAACTACAGGAGCAGCAGCAGCAATTAGGGATGGGCAATATGAAAAATAAAATTGTCGATTTTACTTTGAATTGAATTTACCAAAGTTGTTTATCAAAATGCTGAAGTGCTGACAATGGGCCAATTTTAAAGAATTGTCCAAGATACAATTTCATGATCAGTTACTCTAATAGAGTAAAAAGTCTTACGCAGTAGATAATAAATAAAAATAAAATAAAAAAAAAAAAAAAAAAAAAAAAACCAAGCTTATTTTATAAAATAAATCATTTCTGATTTGCTTTACAGTACATAAAGAGTAAAATTTTCATATTTCTTGGACACCCCTACTCTATGGTGGCTATGCTCCAGAGTTTTAGCACGAGTAACAGTGTATTTTGGAGAGCTAATATTTTCCTATGCTAAGTGTAAACATTTTATGCTATTCGGAAGAAGATTGCTTAAAATTTGTATGAGCTCATAATCCAAATTTATCTATCAATATATTTACATGTGTATTTATTTATTTATTCACACATGAATTTTTAAATATGCGAAAGCAATATTGTTAGTCTCCGTGGCCCGTTATGAAAGCCGTTACATTTCGTATAAAATTCCAATTCCAATCGGCGCTTTTTGACCACATTCCAAGCATATTCCAGTCTACAAGCAGCTAGTCAAGTTGCGCACCATCTCAATATGTTAGTCAGGCCACACTGAGCATTACAGCGCTGCCAGACCGTGAGGTCAACAGCTGTTCAACTGTAAGACTCAAGTTTAATGTACACACACGCACACACACAAGAGCACAGATATATTTTTCTATATATGTACATATAAGCACGTTGGGAGTAGATATGCATTTAAATAAATATAGGTTTGTGAATGATATGTGCCGTTATCGGGATAAGATATAACTTTTTAATTGGCATGACTACTGAAATTAATAAGAACCCAAAAGGCGAATGCCGTTTGCTTGATGACAAATTGGTTAAACAAACAAACATATATATATATATATATATATATATATATATATATATATGTATGTAGATGCATAAACATTGCCCGGTTTGTAATATAGCACGTAATATTTTTATATTATTATTAATTCGAGGTAAACATAGAACACTGCGCAGCGATTAGTCGTCGAATTCACAGTAACCGGCAAATCGAACGGGCAACCTTTTGACATTGATAATGTGCTCCAACGGCGATGAAACCGACGGCCACCTACAGGTCCGAGCGCCAGCAATCGATATAAAACAAAAGCCCAGCGAGACGGTGCTCCCATCACCCACAATGCAGCCGCTGGCAATGCGTCGCAACGTGAGCGGCGACAGTCTCCTGATTCCGTCCGCCTCGAAGGAGGCACACGTTCGCGTCATCTATACGGGCGGCACCATCGGAATGATGCGCAACGAACGGAATGGTAATTATCCCAATGGATCCAACACTTCCTTTCTATGTGCTTCTCATCTTTAGTTTGTGTCTCTTCCAATCATCATATTGAAATAATGACTCGATTACTTACCCAACGGATCCCCAACTTCATCTTCAATTCTTCCTCCCTATTTTTCATTTCTGTATTTTCCAATCTTCCATTTGCATATGGAAATAATGCCTACACCCCGATATCCTCCGCATCTTAAGTTCCCATATACTCCAATCCTATGCCGATCTACTTCTCATCTTTGCTTTCCCTAGTTCCAATTCTATGCCATGCTCATCAAATTTCATCTTTATCTCATCATTTCCCACTCTTCCCTTTAATCTCTTGTTTCATTATCATTTCTATATCTAAATTAGTGTCTTATCTTACTTTCAACCTCCATTGAGATTCCGCATTTCATCTTTCAGTCTCCATCATGTAGTTATCTCATTCTTCTCTATCTTTTCATCTTCATTTCCATATAATTTCTCAACTGAGTTTCTCTAGCTCGCAGTCTCCATATATCCATTTCCTATTCTTCATATTCTTCTCTTTCTTCTAATCTACGCTTCAGCAGAATTTAATAAATCTTCCATTTTTCATTCTCCTTCCCCTTCACATAGACTGCTTCCTCTCTTTCTTTTCAATTTCCATTTTCCACCCTCTCCTTCTCCCTCTCTCTCTCTCTCTCTCTCTCTCTTTCTTTCACTATTCTTCGCTTTCCAAATTGAAAGCCTAGTTTGATTCTTTCAGTCTTGGCGCCCATTCCGAACGCTTTGGTTCGTCTTATCCGCAAATATCCGAATATTCACGATGAGGATTATGCGCAGCGACACTTTGGCGCTGGCGCCTCCATGGGGCCGCTGGTGCTGCCCTACGTTCAGGGCGAGGCGAGGAGAATCGTCTACCAGGTGACGGAATATTCGCCGCTGCTCGACTCCAGCAATATGACCATGGATGACTGGGCGCGCATTGCCAAGGATATTCACGTGAGAAATGAAAAGAGAAGGCTAAGATGAGATGGAGAGAGAGAGAGAGAGAGAGAGAGAGATATGTATATGAGGGAATAGAAGCATAGAGAACAAACACAGACACATTCTCAATGTCTCTTTCTCCCTCTCCCTCCTGCAATGTCCCCCTCTCTTGCTTGCTCTTTAATAACGCTCCATTTATCCCTCTGTAGCAATCGTACGAGTTCTTCGACGGCTTCGTGGTGCTCCATGGCACAGACACGCTCTCGTACACGGCCTCGGCTCTGTCGTTCATGCTGGAGAACCTGGGCAAGACGGTGATCATAACGGGCAGCCAGCTGCCGATCTTCGAGACTCGAACGGATGGCAAGGATAACTTCACCTCGGCGCTGATCATTGCCGGCAACTATGTGATACCGGAGGTGTGCATCTTCTTTGGGAACAAGCTGATGCGCGGCAACCGCACTGTGAAGGTTAGCTCCAACTCGCTGGATGCGTTCGATTCACCCAATGTGCCGCCGTTGGCGCAGATCGGCATCAATGTGAACGTGGACTATCGCCTGATCTTCCGGCCGTGCACCGTGGAGCGTTTCTGCGTGCACTCGCAGCTGGACGAGAATGTCGGCTTGTTGCGCATCTTTCCCAGCATTTCGCTGGCCACGTTTCGCGCCTTCTTGGCGCCGCCGATGCGCGGCGTGGTGATGCAGTCCTTTGGCTCTGGCAATGTACCATCGAATCGCAAGGATCTGATCGACGAACTGAAAGCGGCCGCCGCTCGTGGCGTCATCATCATCAACTGCACCCAGTGCCCGAATGGCTCGGTGGCCGAGATCTATGACACCGGCAAGGTGCTGTTCGATGTGGGCGTCATACCCGGATACGATATGACACCGGAGGCGGCGCTCACCAAGCTGGCCTACGTGATAGGCAAATCCGAGTGGTCGCTCGAGGTGAAGAAGCAGGTGGGTTAACAGAGAAGCTAACTATGCTAGGAAATCCTGATATAAATTACAATCTATGCCTTGTCCAGATGATGCAGTCGAATCTGCGCGGCGAGCTGACTTCCATGGGCGCGCATGCAATGAAGGACTACGACCTGGTCGATGCAGTGGCTCGTTCGCTGCATCTGTCGTCGCCGCAGGAGCTCAATCAACTGGGCAACACGCTCTTCCCGGCCATGATCAATGCGGCCGTCATGGAGGGCAACATCAAGAAGCTGACGAATCTGAAAGCCTATGGCGCAAATCTCTCTGGCACCAATCATGACCAGCGCACGGCGCTCCATCTCGCCTGCCAGCTGGGCAACGTGGCCATTGTGCGGTTCCTGCTGCAGAACGGCGTCTCGGTGCACAAGCGGGATCTGTGCGAGCGCACGGCCTTGCAGGAGGCCATCGCGACGGACAATGCAGAGATCATTCAGTTGCTCATCAGTTGTGGCGCCCACTTGACTGGATCCTCGCGTGCCGTGGGCGAACAGCTGTGCGCCGCTGCAGCTCGTGGTGCACTGCGTCGCCTGCAATCCTATCAGCTGGCCGGTGCCGATTTAAGTTTGCCGGATCCCTCGGGACGCACAGCATTGCATGTGGCTGCGCTCCATGGCAATGTGAATGTGGTGAAGTACCTTCTGGAAAATACGGAGAGAGCAGAGTTGAAGGATATGATTGGGCTGACACCGTTGGACTATGCCACACGTGGCGGCCATTCCGAGGTTGTGCGTCTTCTAACGCCCAACGAGACGGAGCCGGAGCCGGATACTTAACAATGTGCTCTTCCGGCAGTTGCTGCTCATGGTTATTACTTAAAGTTGCTATATTCACACCTGTGTATGCATGTATGTATGCACATACATATACATATAACTAAATCGCTTGTGTTGTGCGCACCTAGACAAATCTAGTCTAGCCTATATTGTTGCTAACTAGTTTTTTCCACTAATGAATTTTATACACAGTTTTATGTATTTGAGCTCGAATTCTTATGCACTTGAACTTAACGGTTATGAATAAAGAAAATCTCGATAGTTTCGATAAAAAAAATCATTTTGAATTACTGAATCGATACATATGATTAACAGTTCATCATAATAATTCATTCATTATTATGAACTTATTCATAATTTTGTTGATAAATGATATTAGAGTTGGGCTATAAATTTCTTCATGTTCACATTTTAGCAATATATACAAATAAAAACTAAGAAAACTTTTTTGAATGCCCATACCTTAATCAAGTAGGCTGTAGGGCAGTGAACAACTGAAACAATATCAACATAGAATATTCATAATCAGATAAACTGGTCACGTAAGTCAACACATATAAAAATTATATTTCAAAAATTATATTTCAAAAATTATATTTTTACATTACATTTGCGGCCGATTAGTTTGGACCATTCCCAATCGATACTATCGCGTCTACGACAAGAACGGCCCTGCGATTGCCAAACTAGGGCAGTAGAACGATTGTAGAGCCCTGGTGTTCAAGTTTCTTTTTGTTAGCATTGCTTAATGATAATTGGTAAATAGTTTTTCAATGAAATTTTCCATAAATTGTGCTAAAAAAATCGCTTTCCCCTTGTAAATTGCGATGGGAGCGTGAGTGTGTGTCCTTATATGTGTGTGCGTGTTTGAAGACGTTTGCAAAACTGTTTTGTCTACAGACGTACACACACTGAGGCACACGCACACAAACACACACACATACACGCACACGCACACGCACACACCTAAGAAGTGCACACGTCAGTGCCACGAAATCTGTCCAAAATTTCAAACGCGAGAGCCCCCCAAACTTGTCTTAAATATTTTGGATTAATTTAGGGAATACGTCCTTTTACCATTTCAGTCAATGTCGATAGTTAGCAGCACGAACATCACGAAACACTCGCGACGACATTGGATATATCCATTCCGGAGATAGCCAGTGCTTCCTCTTCTTTTTTTTTTTTGTTTTTCCTTTTTTTTTTTGCTAATTTTATTGTAAACGTGTTTAGGTAGTTGAATTTGTTTATCATGTCCGGGCAAATGTCCGAGCACATGCCGCCCAATGAGCCTGAGGAGGAGAGCAGCTCCACAGACGTTTCACTGACTCAGGTAAGCTGCGCTCGCATAGCAAACTCCGTCTCCAGCTAACTTGGCCTGCGATTCGCTTTTGCAGCATGTGTCCGCTGGTGGCACTGGTGGGAAGGGGCGACTGGATAGCCTGCGCGAGAATCTGTTCAAGCATCAGGTAAGTCTTGCATAGCCCCATGTTAATTGAGAGATTAATCTGTGTCCAATTCGTGATAGGAACGTCTCACGGCGCTGCGTGAGCGTGCCTTGCGCAAATCCGAGGATGGCAGTCGGGGCAAGCCCAGCATAAGCGATTCGATGGAATCGCTCCAATCGCTGGGCCAGCGGCTGTCCACATTGAAGGTGCGCAATCCCGATTCGCCTCAAGTGCTGCTGCACGAGCTGCCCTCACAGGACTCGTCCACACCGCTGGCCACACCCACTAAAGATGTCTCGGGCAGCGAGAAGTTGCAAATGCTGAACCAGCGCACCGAGCAAAATCGTGCGCTCCTCGAGCAGCGCAAACGCGACATGGCCAAATCGCTGCAGTCGGTGAAATCGGGCATGCGGCAGAGCATCGATCTGGGCTCCTCCATGAGCGATCTGCGTGCGCCGGCCACAGCGGCGCCTGTTTCCAGGCATTGGTCCGCAGCAGATCTGCAGCTACAGATGCAGCAGCAGTTGCAACAGCAGCCGAGCGAAGAGGGGCGCCTCAAGCAGCTGAAAAATAAGATGCGCCTCATTGAGATGAAGCAGAACCGCAAGGAGCAGGAGTTACAGCAGGAGCTGAACGATCTGCGCAACGAGTTGACACGGCGCGAAGAGCAGATCCAACAGCTGGAGGCGACGCTGGCGCAGCAGAGCGAACAGGTGGACAGCCAACGACTCCTGCAGGAACAGGAGAATACACGATTGCACGCAGAGATCGAGCAGCTGCGCGAACGCAATGCGGAGCTAGAGAATAGCAGCGAAATGCTGGAAGCACTACGACTAGAGCTCCACAGCGCCAGGGAACAGCTGCTGGAGCAGCAGGCTAACCAAGCAGCGGCCGAGGCGGCAGCGCTGGTCTCCACGGACGCCCAGGTGAATGTGGAGCTGGCCAAGCAGCTGCAGGAACTGGAGAAAGAATTGCAGGAGCTACGCGACAGCAAGGAGGAGCAGACGCCAAAGCTGGAACCGGATGCCCTCAGAGTATCTGAGCTCGAGGCCACCATTGCCCTGCAAAACGAACAGCTGGCGGAGAAGACCACCGAGCTGAATGTGCTCAACGTGAATCTGCGCGTGCTCGAGGAGAAGCTCGCTCAGAGCGTCAAGAGCAAGCCCATCTTCCTAGACGAGGACGCCAGCGATGGCAACGAACAGCTGCAGGCGCAGCTGCAACAGCTCAAGCAGAAGCTGGACGAGTGCAACAAGAGCAACATCAAGCTAAAGCTCAAATGCAAGCAGGCGGAGAAGCAGCTGCAGAAGCTGCAGAGCCTGGATACCCAACAGGAGCTGGCCCGGATTACCGCCGAGAACGAGCAGCTGCAGCAGCGCATCACAGTGCTAGAGGATGAGAAGGGCCAATGGCAACTGGCCCATGTCGAAGAGGATGCGGCCCAGGAGCAACAGCAACAGCAAGCTAGCAAGCCAACCCCATCCGCTGGCCAGACAGAAGCCATTCGACTGCTGGAGGAGCAGAAGGAGGAGCTGCAACAAGCACTGGAAGCCTTGCAACTGGGCAGCGAAACAGCTCGCGTTGAGTCGGAGCTGAGCGAGGTGCAGCTGGAGGAGCAATTGTCGCAGCGCGTGCAACAGCTGGAGTCGGAGGCAGTCGAGCAGCAGAAGCAGCTGCAAAAGCTGCAGGCCGAGAAGGAGGCCCTGGACAAGAAGCTGACGCACTACATCAACGAGAACATGGAGCTGCTCGATAAGCTGGAGAAGTTGAGCTCCTCCAGCTCGGCTGAGTCCATCGAGATCGTAGAGCGACCCACTGAGCGGCGCTTTAGCCAGAGGCCAGGCAGCGAGGGCGAAGCGGAACCGGAGGGAGACCAGGCCAGCGGCAGCAACACCAAGCAACCCACTGCACCCGCCGTGCTGCCCAGCTTTGTGAGCGAGCTCACACAAACGGATCTGGCTGTGCCTGAGCTAGAGGTCAACGAGAATCTCGCCCAGTTGCGCAACGAGAACGACGAGCTGCTGCAGAAGATTGAGCTCTTCACCAACGAGCGACGAGAGGTGCTGGCCAAGATGGAGCAACTGCAGGCAGAGAATGCGGCACTGCAATCGCAGCTAAAGCTTGCCGAGGAGCAACAGCAGGAGGTGAAGACGACTCAGGAGACCGAACTGAAGCTGGAGCAGCTGGAGGCGGAGAAGACGACGCTCCAAACGGAACTGAAGCTCATACAGGAGCAGCTGGAAACGGAGAAGACGACACTCCAAACGGAGCTGAAGCTCGCCAAGGAGCAGCTGCAGACGGAGAGCGCAGCGCTGCAGGCCCAACTGGAGGAACTGCAGCGGGACAAGCAACAGCTGTCGCTGCAGCTCAGCGATAAATCGAACCTCTCCCAGGAGCTCAGCTCCATGCAGCGCTCCTCAGAGGTGGTCGCTGCCCTGGACTGTGGCGAGGGTGGCGCCGCGCTCTTCGACAAGTGCGAGCGCTCGCTCTCGAAGCTCAGCTCGGAGCTGGAGGCCTATCGCAAGGCCAACGATCGCAATGCCAAACTGAATGTGTCCAAGAAGCTGGCCAAGGAGGCGAAGAATGTGCACGTCCAGCTGACGGAGCTGCTGCAGAAGGTGAAGGAGGCGAGCACCGCAGTGGAGACGGTCACCGTGGTGGAAACAGTTGTCGCTGTCACCGCGCCCAATGGCAAAGCTTTGGCGGAATACGAGCAGCTGACGGCACAGAATGCCGAGCTGAAGGCGACGCTGGCTACGCTTCAAGCGGAGCTCGAGGAGCTACGCGAAAGCTGCGACCCGCCGGAGACGGGCAAGCAGCTGGCCATTGGCCAGGTAGACGAGGAGGAGCAGCAGGAGAGGGCAAGGGAACGCGAGCGTGAGCAGGAAAAGGAGCGCGAGCGAGACGCCTTGATAGCTGAGCTGCGGGCTCGCGTGGAGGAGGAGCAACAGCAGGTGACACAGCTGGAGTCTGTGATAGCGGAACTGCGTGCCAGCGAGGCGGAGCATCTGCAGCTGATAGCCAGCCAGAGTGCTGAGCTGGTGCAGCTGCAGCTGCAGGCGGAACGCTTCGATCAGTCGCTGAACAACAGCGAAATGGCGCACGAGAAGCACATGGAGCAGCAGCAGCGTCTGAGACGTGAGCTCCAGTCCCGCATCGAGACCCTGGAGGGGGAGCAGCGCATACTGCAGGCCCTGGTCGCCGAGCAAAAGCAGCAGCTGATCGAGAGCTACAGCGAGAGCGAGTACGAGACGAACATGAAGCTGCTGGAGCTGCAGCAGTGCCAGAAGGAGCTGGAAGCGAGCGAGCAACGCAACAAGGAGCTGCGCGAGAAGCTCAAGAAGTACGCCCTGAGCCTGAAGAAGCGCACGGCCGAGCAAGCGGAGCTGGAGCAGCAGCTGCAGCGCGAGCGGGCCACTGTGACGGAGCTGCAGGAGCAGCAACAGCAGTTCCAGGAGCAGCAACATCAGCTCCAGGAGCAGCAACAGCAGTTGCAGGAACAGCAGCAACAGTTCCAGGAGCAGCAGCAGCAGCTGCATGACATGGATCAGCTGAAGGAGGACAATGTTCGTCTGCACGAGCAGCTGGCCAAGCAGCAGTCCAAGCTAGCCGGCCTGTCCAAGCTCAAGGAGGAAGTGGAACGCCTGCAGGTCGAGCTGCAGAATACAGTTCACGCGAATACAGCGCTGCGCCAGGAAAGCTACAAGCTGGAGATGGCGTTGGCGGAGCAGGGCTCCGCAGAAGAGTTGCGTCGCCAGTTGGAGGTGAAGTCCTTGAAGTTTGATAAATCCAAAGAGGTCATCAAGCATCGCAATGCCACCATATTGAGTCTGCAGCGCGAGCTGGCCGAGCTCCGTGCTCAGCTTCAGGCACAGCCCGAGGAGGAGGAGCAGGAGAAGGAAAAGGAACATGCACAGCAGTTGAAGGAGCTTGAGCAGCTGCGGGCGCAGAACGCCAAGATGGCCGAAGAGAAGGTGAACTTTGAGCAAACGATCGGTCGCCTGGAAACCATCCACGAAGGCATTCAAGCCAAGCTGCAGCAGGATCAATCCTACATAGAATCGCTGGAGGCACAAATATCTGAGCTGCAATCGAAGTGTGTGACTCTCGAGGATCAGACCGCATCACTGCGTGCACATGAGGCCAGTGCCAAGGAGCAGATTGAACTGCTTGAGCAGCAAGTGCGCGAGGCGCATGCCCAGCGGGCGGAGGTGGAATCGCAGCTTAACGAGCGTGTGAAACAGTTGATGGAACGGGAGCTGGTCCAGAACAGGCAAATCAAGATGCTGCGCAGCGAGGCGGACGAGTCGCGCGAGCTACTGGTCTCGCTGCAGACCACCCACGAGACGATGCTGCTGCGGTACAAGCAAGAGGCCCAGCAGGCCCAGGCACAGCGGGAGCATCAGACCAACAACAACGAACAGCATATACTCGAGCTGCGGACACAGCTGCACGCGCGCAACATAGAGCTGGAGCACCAACGCCAGGTCTTCGATGCCAAGCTTGCGGCGAAGGCCACCGAGCTAGATGAGCTGGAGTGTGATATGAATGCGCACATGCAACGCGCCGCCATGCAGACGCGTGAACTGACCCAACAGTTGGAGCGATCCGAAGAACAGCTGCAGGCACGCACCGAGGAGCTGGCACGGCTGAACGACGAGCTGGCCGACGTGGAGCGCGAGCGTGCTGCGCTCAGCCGGGAGGCGGTCATGCTGCGCATGCAACAAGACAGCGCCGAGCAGGATGTGCTCGAGTTGCAGGAGCTGCGCATGCAGGTCATACAGGACAAAACGGAAATGGACAATCTGCGCTCCCAAATCGACTCACTCTGCGCCAATCACAATCAGGAGCTGCAGGCGCTGCAGCAGCAAATCGCCGAGCTAGACACCCTGGGGCAGAACCAAACGGACGATCAGGTCTACATTGAGAACGAGAACAAGCGACTTACCGAGCAGCTGGTGGAGCTGCAGGGTCGTCTCGACGAACAGGCCGAGCAGCTGGCACGCCAGCAGCTACAGGCTCGTCTTGACGAACAGATCGAGCAGGTGGCACGCCAGCAAGCGGCCTCAGCTCCAATTCCTGCTCCAGCCAGCTTCCAGTCGCAAGCAACAGCCACGGACGATTGGATGGCATGGTCGGGCATGATGCAACCCACTCAAAGACAGGAACAGGTATGTAGCACCGAACACGAACTAAAAAAGAGATTAAACACAGCTTCTACCCAGTTCCAACAAAAATCAGCCAGCATTATTTAAAGATTTGCTTAAAGTAAATTTGAATTCGAATTGCACTTCCATACTATGCTATCGATATCACTCACTATCGGCATCGGCTCCAGTTCCGATGAATTAGCAAAGTGAACTCCAGCACTGCTGGAACTATGTTTCTGAATTGCAAGTTCATTGTAGTTCAATAAAAGCAGACACTTATCGATAACTTTATGTACCGGCTGAGTCGAGGTTTATTTGAATTTTACCAACGAATCTCATAAAACTAACAATAAACACATTCACTATTTTTTTTTTTGCAGAATCCGCCATTGCCAGCGCCTGCCATGTTCTTTGGCGGCGATGCGGCAGCTGCGCCCTCGCCTTTCGATGAGATTGTCGCCCAACCGCTGAGGATGACCTCACAGAATCTGGGTATGAGCTTGCCCCAAGCGCAGCCAGTGGCCAATGTTGAGTCGAGTGGAGGAGAACCAACGATTGAGGATCTGCAGCGTAATGTTTCTGATCTGGAGAAACATGCCAAGGAGCTAGAGACGAAATTGCTGGCACGCAATCAGGCGCTTGCCGAGCATGAGGAGCGACGCGCCCAACTGGAGCGTCTGCTGGCCGAACGCGAACAGGAGCTTGCGCAGCTACATGCTGCCGCAGAAGAGCGTGAGCGTGTAGCAGCCGTTGAGGCGCTAATACAGCCAGCTGTGGCCCCAACGACGGCAGCTCCTTCGCTGGATATGTTCTTTGGCAACGAAACGGTAACAGATGCAGCTGTCAGCAGCCTGGATCTGGGTCTTCCGCAAACGGAGCCCGTTGAGGAGCAGCTCATCATACCAAAGAAGGCATATATTTGCCATCCAGAGCAGGAGCAGCAACAGAAACTACAGCAGCAGCAACAACAACAACAACCGCCTCTGACAAGCGACTGGGGTGTTGATGTGGACGAGGATCCGTGGGCCAATGCTGACAAAGAGCAGCAGCTGACAGATGAAACAGCAGCGCTGCTAACTCGCATCGAGGAGCTGGAGAGCCAGAAGGCGAAACTGCAAACGAAAACGGCCAAGTTGATGAAGTGCGTCAAGGAGTATCGCATCAAGGAGCAGCAGGAGCAAGCGCGCCATGCGAATAACAATGATTTGGACAGCGCCATCATGGACGAACTGAAGCTTCAACTGCAGCTACAGGAGGCGCGCCAAGCTAAGGCCGAGGAACTGCTACAACAGCAGACGCTGGAAAAGGAGAAGCTATTGAAGCGCATCGATGTCTTGACTGCAGGCAATGAACGCATGGCCGAGCTGAAGGAGCGGCAGGACATGGATGTGCACATGTATCAGACGCGCATACGCGAGCTACAGGACAAGCTGCAGCAGCTAGAAAGCTGGGGCGAGGGAGCAAGTGCTGCTGCCACGCCCACAGCGCAGCCAGGCGATGAGGCAGCGCAGGCCCGAATCGAGAATCTGATGGCAGAGAACCAAGATCTTAATAACGAATGCCAGGAGCTGATGGCCCAGCTCCGACAGGAGAAAGAGCAAGCCCAGCAAGAGCGGGAGCGACTGCAAGCGCAACTCGATGCGCGTAACCAGGAGGCGGAGCAACTTAAACAGCAAATGGAGCAGTCACAGCAGAAGTATCAGCAGCTGCAACAGCAACTGGAGGAGCTGAGGACCAAGCAGCAAGAATGCCAGCAACTGCAACAGCAACTGGAGGAGCTAAAATCCAAGCAACATGACTACCAACAGCTGCAACAGCAACTGGAGGAGCTGAAGACCAAGCAACATGACTACCAACAGCTGCAACAGCAACTGGAGGAGCTTAAAGCCAAGCAGCAGGAGTGCCAGCCGCTGCAACAGCAACTAGAAGAGCTAAAGACCAAGCAGCAGGAGTGCCAGCAGCTGCAGATGCAGCTAGATGAGCTAAGAACCAAGCAGCTGGAGCTGCCGGTGGCAGTGAGTGCGCCCAGTGACGAGAGCATGGCGCTGCTGCAAGAAAAGGAGTCCGAAATCGTCCATCTCAAGCAACGCATCGAGGAGCTAATGCGTGAGGATCAGACCGAGAAATTGGTGCTAGAGATATTAACCAAGAATCAGGAGCTGCAGATGCTGCGCATGCAGGTCAAACAGCTGCAGGAGGACAAGCTCGAGCTGGAGCAGCAGAGCATACCGTCGAAGGAGCAGCCGGACAATCAAGCGGAGTCGCAGCTGCAGCAGCAGCTGGAACAGGTGCAGCAGGAACTGGAACAGCTGCGCCAGCAGAGCGCCGCGCACCAGCGAGAGAAGAACGACATGGAGGAGGAACTGCGCGTCCTCAACAATCATGTGCTCAGCAGCCTGGAGCTCGAGGACAAGATGAAGCAAACTGTATTGGAGCTGGATATGAAGAACATTGAGATAACCGAGTTACGTAGATCACTGGAGCTGCTGCAGCAGGCACAACCACAGCCACAGCCACAAGAGCAGCAGCAACAGCAGCCAGACATCGCTGCCTTGAATATGCAATGGGAGGCACTGGTGGAGCAGAAATGCAGCGAAGTAGCCAGAATATGGCAGGAGCATCTGGCGAAACGTGAGGCTGAATACAAGGCGAAAATCGAAGAGCTATCTGCAGCGGCTGCTTCTGCGGCTGCCTCATCCCAGCCAGTGCAACAGGAGCAGCAACAGCAACAACCACCTCCACTGCCCGCCACGGAGGACGCGAATGAGATGTTGACCAAGATGCAGAGCGCACTGGAGACACAAGAAATGGAAATCGTGACGTTGAAGGAACAGCTGGCCATACGTTCCGCTGAGTATGCGCGACTCGCCTCGCAATACGATCCCTTCCGGTTGCAGAACTCGTTGGGCAGCGGCCCCGTGGCTGGAGCAAGCGGCACAGCTGGGCAGGACCCACAGTCGGAATATGTGCTGAGATCTGATCTGGACTATGCATTGATGATGCTGCATCAGCGGGATATGCGTGTCGAGGAAATGATCGTTGAGCTGGTGCAGTTGCTCGAGGAGCGCGATCATCTCCAGCTCAAGCTCTCGGACACGCTGCGCCAGCTGGAAGCCGAGCGCAGTAAGTGTGACACCTCCACTCGAATAATAGAATAATAATAATGATTTATGATATGTCTCTTTCTGCAGCAGGTGGAGCAGCATCTGGCAGCGCCAATGCCACCGCCTCCTCCTCATCCAGCCCCAACAAGCTCAGCGGCAGCGGAGAGCTTGCCGCGGCGACACCAGCCAGCAGCAGTGATCTAAAGCAGAAGTAAGATTTCAACTGAATTATACTTAAAATGGATATTCGACTAAACTAAGTGTTGTTTCACAGATTGGCCGAGCTGCAGACGGTGAAGCATTCCAAGGACAAGGCCATTGTTGATGAACGCGAGCAGCGTCTGCAGCAGATGATGCAGCTACAGCGAGACATGGTGAAAACAGCGCCAACAGCCGCAGCTCCAACAACTAATCTTCCTTCTCCGCCACCTGCACACCAGCAGCAGCACCTGCCACAACAGCAGCAGAACCAGCAGCAGCAGCAGCAGCAGCAGCAACAGCAACAGCCACTCGAAATGGATTCAAGTAAATGCCTCGCAAGGCTTGCAGTGATAGCCCAATATATTAATTTATATTTATATTTATCGTTATAAACAGCTCAATCCGGGCAGCGCGCCCCTTACGGAATTATGGACTGGATATTAGGCAACAACAAGAACGAGGACGAGACGCAGCAGACACCACATAATCTTCCCCAGTCACCAGTTCAGCAACAGATTTCCCATTCGCCGCGTTCATCGCCAAGCAATTAGCAGTGGGCAAAGATCTTTGCCAGCGCTGCGCCTAGTTGACTCTATCTAGCAAGTTGCTTAACAATAAATATCGACTTAGATTAGCATTAGAGTTCTATATAAATATTATGTACCTTGCATGAATGAAAACGAAAACGAGCCCCGAGAAACCTAAAACAAAAACAAAAAAATTAAAAAACAAAAAGGAAAAGCTATTCCCGAACTGTGTAGTCGCAGCAATGCAAGGGACACGCCCACGTTTTATGTTGTAGATATGTAAAAATTGTAAAAAAAAAAAAGAGAAAAAACTAAATAATAATAGCAAAAAATAAAATTAAACGAACGTAAATAATAATAAATTAGTATTCCTTGGCCTTTGCTTTGTGTAACATATAACGTTATTTAACGCAACGTAAGACATGTAAATTGCAATTGCCGTTTGAGATGGCAACTGAAGCTAATGAGCTATCGATAATACGATGATTATGCAGTCAGTGTGTACACTATGTTTGACATTGAGATTAATTAAAACTTAACGGCTGAACAGGATAACTGCGTGCGATTTTAACAATTTTTGATTGCTTAGGGCATCCACTATATAAGGAAATAAGATAAGTCCGTTATTTAATTATTTATTAGTCATGAGCGAGTCGGGATACCGAAACAAGCGCACTTACCACTTGGCTGATATGCAGCCGACAATGACAAGCTTCAGTACTGTGGCGCTAATCATAGCCAAGTCGGAGGCAAATGTATTTCTGGACAAGATTAACAGCGAGCAGCGAGGCGTCATTAGCTTCACTCTGCGTGACTCGAAGCGCGACATAGCCAACTGCAAATGCTGGGGCAGCAGAGCCTGCGTGGATGAGTATGTGGATATGCTGCAAATTGGTGATGTGGTGGACATTGTGGGCGCCAAAGTGATGGCCATAGCGCCCCCCAATAAGCCCGGCACCAACGAGCAGCAGCGCTATCACCCACGTGGCACCTTGCCGTATGCGCTGGTCGTGAACGAGGGCCAGGGACATCTAGTGAAGCACAGCGTCGATGATGCGGCAGTTGTGCAACCTCTACTACAGCTGATTCATCTGTCCCACAAGCCATTGAGTGCTGTCTTGAAGCTCTCGGATGTGCGCTGTGCCGCTCCAGGGGCGGAGCAACGGCCAGCTGTCTATGTCGATCTGCTCGTAGCAGTGGCAACGATGCGTCCGGTGCGAGAGCTGAAGAGGAAGGTGGCTCGCCTCGGCAGCGGACTGCTGCAGTGCCTCGAACTGGTGGTGATCGATACCAGCTATGCAGATGGCATGGTGTTCACGCTCTGGCACAAGGATTGGATACGTCGCGCCCGACACTGGCAGCCACGCAAGACCATACTGCATCTGATCGATGTGCGTCTGTCGCACTCGCAGTTCTACGGCTGTCCAGTGCTCAGCCATGCCAGCTGCACGCTGATCTACGAGCAGCCACAGCCGCAGAGCGCCGAGTGCCAGGCACTGCTCGCATTCGCAGCCAGCACTCCGCTCAAAAGTTTCGATATGTTCGCGCAAATCGATGTGGAGCAGCTGCCAGCAGGTGAGTGGAGGCCACTCTTATTATGACATTAAATAAGTGCTCGCCTTCTTCTCCATCAGCCGAGCACATCCAGACCCAGATGAGCGTGCGTCAGATCTATGCGCGTGCCGAGGGCGAGCTCCAGGATGCGACGAGCGATCAGTTTACGGCTGTGCTCTATGCCATGGTCAGCAAATTCGACATCGATGGCCTGGCCACCAGCATCCACAAGAAATGGCAAGTAGTACCCAATCCTCCAAGATTATATTATCTACTTTGATTTGATCTTGTCCTTTCACGCAACTGCAGCAAATCCTGCCAGCGCCTCATACCGAACAGCCGCAACGACTGCGACAATGAAAGCTGCCTGCTGGAGTTCTCGTTATGTTACAGCGGTCCCCGCTTCGAGTACTTCTTCAACATCAACGTTCATCTGTCTGACCAGACGGGCACGCTGGTCGAGACACGCCTGAGCGGAGGCGTAGCTGAGCACTTGCTGGGCTTGAAAGCGGATGCCTTCCAGCTGCTGTCGGAGCGTAGGAAAACGGAGCTCAAATGGCGCTTCCTCTTAAAGTACTTCGAGGTGAAGCTGCTAATCAGAAAGCCAACGGCCATGCGCAAGGATCTGGCTGTCATAATCGTGGACATGGAACTGATTCAGCTGGATAGGCTTATAGAGAAGATAACTGTTTTTTAAACACAAATCGAGCTATTATAATATGGAATAACTTTAAACCAAGGGTTTTTAAAATGAAATTTGGTGTCTTATTTTGAGTAAATATAAGAAAATATCGCTAGATCTAACTAGATATATATTATTATTAACATTATTATTCATATCTTCAATTTTGTGATTAATATTTAAGCTGTTATATTTAGAGTCGAAGATTTATCTGTTAGTTAACATTATTTGTTAAATAGATGTACATAAAACAAAAATATTATAAGCTTTTTGAGAAGTAGAACTATAAACCATGTTTCTGAAAGCCTTTTTAGGGAATAATTAGAAACTAGTTAACTTATATACAAATCTATATATGAATTAGAATGGAATTTAAATTTGAACAAAATAACATGTAAGCAAACCAAATAGTTAGATCGTTAAGAACTGAGTCTTTTAGAAGCTAACTTAAAATTGAATACCTCAATAATATTTTTAATATAGAAATTAAAATCATATAAATCTATATCTGTAATAAAACAGTCTAAATTGAAGCCAAAAGAAAACTATATAAGGAAACCAAATTTGTTAGATAGTTAAGAACGTTATCTTATAGTAACTAACCCAAAATACAAAATAATGCTTGTAGCATATAAATTAAAGTATATAGCTGTATTAAGAAGAGATCAATTTCTATAGCTGTACTATATAAATTTGAAAAAAGAAACTCAAGATTAGACTAGGATTTATATAGATTTGGCAGTCATCAAAATGATGTTAAGAGTTCATGGAATACTAAGTTCTTTATAAGTATTAAGGCTAAAGAATAGAGTTGTGTATCTGTAAAAAATGTAGTTTAAGATTTGTAAATAAAAGATGCAAAATAACAAACTACATAAATATTTAGCATCTTTATTTCGCTTGGGTCTGGGTTTGTTTATGTTTGTTTTGTTTGTTGTTAATATTGTTTACACATAAAACGTTGCAACTGCAATATACATAAATAGTTAGTTATACAATCCAATGTCTTAACCGTCGCCCGACTAACGACTTTCACACATATACATATACGTATACATATACATATGTAAATATAATGCTAATATTTGGTTTAGCTAAATTACATTTGCCGCTTAAACATTTAGTATCCAGAAAATCAATTACATTTCACAACGGATTTCATTTACAAACAATTACAATCGTGTATCATATATCATATCATATCATTTCATTCATTAATTATTATTATATATTTTTTGGTGCTGTTTACTTGCTAAGATCACAATAGTTCGACTCCAGTTTAAATCTGAACGCGGCCTCGGCACCAAAAAATTTGCTCGATTTATAGGAGGAGGGGGTGTTATCCATTAATTCTTATAAGTGGGGAATGTGATCTAAATGGAACAATTTGGTAACGCTTAATACTGAAGCTAATTAAACAAACAACACAAATCACTCTATAGAGTATTACTCTGCGCTACAAGTATAACGTAATGCCTAACAAAATCAACAAAGGGACAACGTGACATATAAATGTAGATAGCCGAAAGGAAGGACATTTAGCTGTGGGTTAAGTGAAGGGAATCAACGTTTGTACAGGTTCAGTTATTTGTTAATCCTAAGCCACATAATGTAAATAGTACTACAATTAAAATGGACACACACAAAAAGATAGGTAAGGAAAGGAAAAGAAAGACTTGGCCATGCTGCAGAGCGAGCTGGCAATAGGGTTAGAAAGAGCACGCTAGAGAGCATGAAACACAATTAAAAAGTCAATGCTTAAGTTGTAAAACAATGGAGCTCTACTTGGAGCCCGTTGCTGGATGATGATGATGTCCATGGAGTAGATGATGCTGTTGCTGTGCAGAGCTCGGATGATGATGCAGATGCTGCTGCTGATGCTGCTGATGCTGCTGCTGCTGCTGTGCAGAGCTCTGGTGATACGGCGACTGCTGCGGCGGCTGATGATAATGCTCCTTAGGGGCTGACGCAGCTGCAGCCGCTGCTGAGCTCGATGACGAGGCGGTGGAGCTGGCCGCATGATTCGCGCCATGGCTATTGTGACTGTTGCTGTAGTTAATAGGCAGCGCCGTGACAGCAGCCAGTGCAGCGGCAGCAGCGGTGGCAGCTGCCACACCGGCTGTGGCAGTGTTCAATTTGCTGCCACTGCCACTCCCACTCCCGCTGCCGCTATTCACCTTCAGCTGGCGTATTTCGGGAAAGAACTCAATCATCAGAATTTCGAGCAGCTCCTGCAAGTGTAAAGCAAGCCAAATCAATAATCAAATCTATCATCAATCATCAAGCAATTCATTTCCACTCACATAGAAGAGCTGTTTGTTGTACATGGGATTCTGCAGGGCATCGAAGACTTTGAGAACGCCACGCTTGGCCGCCTGGGCGCCCACCAGATTGCAGAGCACCTCGGGTATGTGATCCGTAAGCAGCGCCTTGGCCGCATTGGTGGTCATCTCTTTCATATCCTCCGATCGGGGCGGATACGCCGAGGCAAGCACGCCTCCGGGCCAAAACGATTTCAATATGGCCGAGAAATAGTTGTGCAGCATGGACTCCTCGAACAAGTACGCCACGGACTCTCGTATCTGCCGGTTGATCGTGCGTCCATAGGTGATCTGGACAAACGAGATGATGCTCTTGCGCAACCATTTGAATACGCCGCCCATGTCAAAGATTTCGCCCATCAGCGCATAGAGGGGCTCGGCAATGGAATCCTTGCTGTCCAGATCAGCGAGAAGTTTCGCATCGCTGCTAGACTCGCCATCCAGATAATTGGACATGTCGTCATCATCGCGCTGCAGTCCCCAGAACGGATCGCTGGCTTTGCTCGACTCGTGCGCCTTGGCCGTGTCGCTTTTGAATAGCGTGGAGAGCGAGAATTTGGATTTCTTGGGCGAGGGCAACGTCTGCTTCAGATGATCCGAGCTGGGGCTCAGAAAGGTGTAGATGGCCTCGCTGCCATTCAAGTGATCATCCTCCAGAATGAACTGCAAGTGTTAAGGATTAGATAACGGAACACAGAATTCATTCACGTCGACTCACGTTCAAAAACTTTTGTATCTGCCCCTTAGCCTTCTCCTGTGCATGTCGATCCGTCTTCAAGAAGAAGAACTTAAAGT